AGGTAACCATGCTGTGGCGTCACCTGCCGCATTTTATTTTAAAGAAAAAAAGTAGCTTGCAAAGCTGTCGCATCGGTTCTACGTGATTAAAAGCAGAGTTTTCATCACGCGCACACACACGTCTTCCTATCTTTGTGAAGACCACACACAGCACTCAGCCTCGCTCTGCGGCGTCTTTTTTCCCCAAGTTTGGCGAGAGGTGGATATGGAGGGTCGCAAAAAATAGCTCTCGACTTGATCTGGACTTATTTAAATAAAAATGACTACATGCCGTGAAATTCTCAGAGGGGCGGGCCGTCTCGTTGGCGGGGGGGCCCGCCCCGCCTGTATAATGGTAGGGGAAACACTGCACACACACACACACACACACGCACACACACACATGGTGTTAGCTTTTAAGCTAATGATATTAGCTTGAGGGTTAATGCTAATAATATTAACTTGTTAGCTAATGCCATGTATATTTAGGTAATATGTTAGCTCTATAGCTAATTTACTAAACATATTAGCTATGTTAATAGCTAATTTAACCACATATTGTGCAGAACATAGAAACTAATATGAACATTCATTGTCACACATTTTAGCTTATCTTCAACCTATTATCAAAATCCACCCAGAATGCATTGCATAAGTAACAAAATGGCAACATGCTTAAGCGAAAAAAGTAATAAACAGCATATGTTACAAAACAACAACATTGAGTGAAAAAGAGAAATAACAGACTAAGGCCAACATGTGACAATAGTCTGAGATCCCTTTAAGGACCAGTAAAGCCAACATTTTTATTGGGATTTAGACAATCTACAGCGGAGCTGTTTGTTTTGTTTAATTTCTTTGTAATGCGTAAAAATAACTAATAACACTCCAAAAATCTGTTTCCTACTTGAAATAAATGAGCCACAGATGTTTGTTTGATTAAATTGAACCAAAGAAGAAGGAATAAAAGCTGGTGTTTGATGCTCACGTTGTTCCACGTTGGTGAATCATTTGGGCCGAGGAACAAAATCCTGGTCTGAACCCTTTATCTGCTCTGACGAACGTGGGAACATTCGGCTCACACACACACACAGACACACACTCTCTCACACACCTGAATGCACACCGTCACAGTTGCTAACACAGATCATCTGACAGGAGAAGCCTTGGCTCGGTTTGTATGCTGGCACGGCTCTAAAGTGTCAGTATCTGTGTACCGGTGCCAGTCCTCATGTCCCGAGCCGGTCTCCTCCCTGGCAATAACAGGAGGAGCAGCTTTGGACGCGGCGGCGAGGATTCTGGACACCCTGGCAGCAGTCACCGGCCTGTCCAGGGTTTGCAGCTCTGACGATTATCTGTACGGTTAATTAGGCAACAATGGAGGCTGAGATATGCCGTCTAGATGAGGAGGAGGAAGAGGAGTGTGAACAGAGGGACAAGCAGGTTGTGTCTCCGTCATTCATGAGCTTATTTTCAAACGATTTCTGGTGATGGAAGAATGAGCGAGCTGTGTAGGTGATGGAACATCCACCATGCATGTGTGCTCAGGAGAACTGGTTTCACCAGAATACTAACAACCGTTTCCTCCAGTATATTACTCAGTACTTTTAACGTCACTTTAACTCCAGTATATTACTCATTAGTACAAAGAAAAATTTAATTACAGTATATTACTCACTATAAACGTCACTTTAAATGTGGTATATTACTCACNTGGAGACCTGTCCAGTTGTCTCTTGTGAACTGGAGACCTGTTCAGGTGTCCCTGATGGAGACTGGAGACCTGTCCAGGTGTCTCTTGTGAACTGGAGACCTGTCCAGGCGTCTCTGGTGAACTGGAGACCTGTCCAGGTGAACTGGAGACCTGTCCAGGTGTCTCTTGTGAACTGGAGACCTGTCCAGGTGTCTCTTGTGAACTGGAGACCTGTCCAGGCATCTCTGGTGAACTGGAGACCTGTCCAGGTGAACTGGAGACCTGTCCAGGTGTCTCTGGTGAACTGGAGACCTGTCCAGGTGTCTCTGGTGAACTGGAGACCTGTCCAGGTGTCCCTGGTGAACTCGA